TTTTTTAGGTCATTTCTCGTCAAGCCACCATTAATATCGGGACTATTGGTCACGTAGCTCACGGGAAATCAACTTTGGTGAAGGCTATTTCCGGTGTACACACGGTTAAATTCAAAAATGAATTGGAGAGGAATATCACTATAAAACTAGGATATGCAAATGCGAAGATATACCGATGTTCCAACATAGATTGTCCTCGTCCTGGCTGTTACAGGTGAGGCATTTTTTGGATACTTGTCCACGCCGTCACTTTATATTTCCTTCCTTTTTTTTGCCCACAAAGAATATTTGTCGTTCGGCGCGCCCCTTCGAAGTCCCATTGACGTGGGACGCATAGCATTTGAATGCCACTCATGCGTTGCCATACAACCTTCCAACTCTTCTGACAGACACCTCGTTCAAACCATTCAACATAGTCAGCTAGGGCTTTATTAAAATTGCTTTGCGCTTAGTTGTAAATGCAAGGCGACGCTGATTAAGAAGGAACTCAGTCGAAGTAAAGTTGTAAAGGAGCTAAAGAGTTAATAGTTTCATCCATCTCTATAAGCGCAAATATTATCAGTTATACACAGTTTTAAAATTCAGTGTGGCAATGTAAAATCATGCACGTCCATACCGCACATCAGCATGGTTCGGCTTTCCTCTTCACTCTTGACGCTATCCAATGATCACCCTCTTACCAAAATGGAAATTAAAGGGATTAGAGAGAATGGGCCATTTATCTGGAGAGGTACATGTATGTATGTGGTCACCGTTGCACTGTAGTTTTTCTATATCTGCGTTCGGCTTCTTTCTGAACTTGACCCTGCTAAACTCCTTGGTCCTCCTCTTACAAATTACATTGGGCAGTTTCCATTAGCATTCTATCCCGATATTGTCGTGACGCAATCCCCTTTCGCTAGAGGTTGAGCGCTGGCAAAATGCGCTACAACCTTCGTCTGTTTATGAGGTAAGGATTATGAAATCGAAAAAGAGAAACCCAGCAAACGAAGAGTAACCCAATAAAGCGGACGTGGAATCAAATAATCAGTTGCTAACCTTTGAAGTTTTTATATGCGTAAACCTCATCGAACTGTTGGATAGGAAGATAGTTAGCGACCCCAGTAGTGACTTTCTTCTACTTGTAGTTGAATGTAAGTTGCTGAGAGTCAAACTCTCCAGTGGATTTAATGCTAGCGAGAGTCCAATCATATAAGTAGTGTCACTATTATATTTTTTCACCTATTCACATCAATAATTATTCAAACTATGTTTTCAATGGTCTAGTTTCATGAAAGGGTTGAAGGGTATAGTGGCAAACATTGCGCTATCGCTCACGGAGTGGGGATCAGGCCCCGGATCAATACTCGCATCCGCCAACCATACCTTCTACGCTTCCGGTGTCAGATAATTGGTACCACCTCGTCTAGGAGGATAAAAGCACTGACTTGTTTGTCACCTGGACTCATTGTATAAGCTACCTACGTTTTCGAAGGGTCACTATGACTCTGAATGAAGTTCGAATGCAGAGGCGCCTCCCAGAAAGAGGGGTTGATTACGCTAGAGATTTCATCTTTGTCTTAACTTATTTCTTGTAGGCCTTAACCTATATTTTGCTTTTCATGTAATCGTGTCATTTTGTCGTTTGAAATCAATTTTATATCACTATTGTTCACTCATCAATTGTTTTTGGATTGTGATTCAGACCTAATTTGCAAAGTTGATCGGAAAGAAGTTGTGAAGGGAAATGGTTTTCAAATCAGCGCAAAAACCTACAGTTTAATATTAGGTTTCAAAGTACATTTATCCTTTGCGGGATATTTTCCTTCATTATCTTAATTAAAGGCATGTCAGTTGCACATGCCAATTGCTTTCTTGAAGACTGCGCAGTGGTCGTGAATGATTTCAGATCAGCTGGCTCATCAACCCCAGATCGTTTCCCATGTGAACGGCAAGGTTGTGGAGGGCAATTCACCTGTGTTCGTCACGTGTCTTTTGTCGATTGCCCTGGTCATGACATTCTTATGGCAACCATGCTTAACGGCGCTGCAGTTATGGACGCCGCTTTTTTGCTAGTTGCAGGTGTGAACGTTAAAAGCATCAGTCTTTATTAAGGATACTAGTCTCCATTTTTCAGGAAATGAGCCATGCCCACAACCTCAGACATCCGAGCACTTGGCAGCTGTTGAGATTATGCAATTGCAACATCTCCTGATCCTTCAGAATAAAGTATGTTACTGCACTATTTTTTATCTTTTCTAGAAGACCTATTTGGAATTTTAAGACTTCTATTATACTAACGCGTTTCAGGTGGATATCATCAAGGAATCTCAAGCTCGAGAGCAGTATGATCAGATCAAGTCTTTCGTGCAAGGTACAGTTGCTGATAAAGCTCCAGTGATTCCAATTTCTGCACAGCTCAAATACAACGTTGATGTGAGTGTTCATTTTCTCGTTTTCTCCCGCAGGGCTACTTAGATAAACATTTTCAGCTTGTGTGTGAATATCTGTGCAAAAAAGTGCCAGTTCCACCTCGCGACTTCACCTCTCCTGCTCGCCTCATTGTCATCCGCTCATTCGATGTAAACAAGCCTGGATCAGAAGTCGAGAATTTGAAGGGAGGAGTGGCTGGAGGCTCAATCTTAAGAGGTTATCATTACGTGTTTTCATGAAAGCTTTAGGGTTTCGCTGATATTTTTCAAATTTTACGATTTAAACAAGCGACGTTATCGGTAGCCTTCACTACTTGAAATTACGGTGAGCATTATAGATGGCTCAGACCCCTATCGCTCATTTTAGATACAGTTTTGCTACGTACGCGGTCAAGAGCTTCGCAACTCTTGATTTCGAGAAATATTCTCGCCTCGTGCATTCTTCCGCTTGTATTAGTCGTTGCACCTTTGGAGCCATGGTTTTATATAATAACCTTTTTATTTTTACAGGAATTCTCCGTGTTGGTCAAGAAATAGAGGTGCGCCCCGGTATTGTATCCAAATCGAGCGATGGTAAAGTACATTGTCGACCCATCTTCTCGAAAATAGTTTCCTTATTTGCTGAACAAAATCATCTCGAGTATGCTGTTCCTGGAGGTTCGTCATCTATCCTTAACCACTGCTTTATCAATAAGACTCGAGTTTTAAGGTTTGATTGGTGTTGGTACAAAAATTGACCCAACGTTATGTCGTGGTGATCGCTTGGTGGGTCATATTCTGGGTGCCGTTGGAACCCTACCTGACATTTTCACGGAGATCGAGATTAATTTCTTCCTACTACGACGGCTTCTTGGTGTGCGTACTGAAGCTAACAAGAAAGCAGCTAAAGTGTGTTCATTTTCTGCCGCGTTTTTTTTTCATAGAACTTCATCCATTTCTTGACTGAGAGGTTATGCACAGGTTCAAAAATTGGCGAAAGGAGAAGTGCTCATGGTCAACATAGGGTCTTTATCTACTGGTTGCCGTGTGATCGCTGTGAAAGGTGAAGCGGCGAAGATCGCCTTAACTGATCCTATATGCACAGAGGTGCGTTAGCTTCATCTACTTCCTCTTTTTTGCTAAGTTAAATGAATTATCAAATTTTGTCGAAAGCTTTGCTACGCTCTGTTGCAAGAAAAATCCAACCTTACAGCCCCAATTGCAGTTATAACTTGTAGGCAACTAGGTTTGGAAAGTGAATAGTGGGCAACAAGCTTCCGAGCCATACTTCACCCATGTCTGTTCTCATGTTTTCATCTGCGCTTCCTTCCTCTCTGACAGGAATTTCGTGCACTGGTTTGCAGTCTACCGTTTCCCACATTCCAGCTCTCTCAATGGCGTCTTCTTGTCGTCTACCTAGCCCTTTCACATGAAACTGGGGCACTTTGACCTTTCAATACTTTCTTTGAGAAGAATTTCCTAATGTATATTTGGTTTTTCATATCATTATCACGCAATCTTTTTTCCTTAAGCTGGCCCTTACAATTGAACGACTGGGTTGTTGAAAGGGTACAATTTGAAGATGGAGAGGACTATACCATCAATAAATGCCGTTTTATGACGCTCCACCTGTGGAAGAATAGTTAACAATTTAGTGACAGGCAGACAGACGATACCGAAATGCACAAACGACAAGTTACACAGATTGCTATAAATTCGCAGGGATTCGGAGTGATTCCTCTCTCGAGGCGTGAAGCGCTTTACCTTCGTAGATCATTTGGAGAGCAGTTCAAAAATTTGACACCATACCTTTCAAGTAAAAATGGATATGATCGAAATTTTCCTTTGATTGTCTAGCCTTTAAACCATCCGGTTTCATATAATCGACCTACTTACAGGGTATATTTCAGATTAGTGAGAAAATCGCGCTCTCACGGCGTATTGAGAAACACTGGCGGTTGATTGGATGGGGTACGATTCGACGTGGAGTCACCATCGAGCCAGTCAAAGCTGAGCACTGTTAGCTATGTGATCGGTAGTTATTCAGAGGGATTCCGAGTTAAGACTATTCTCCTGTCAATCTGGTAATGTTTCTGTCGCTGGAGACCATAGGAAGATCGAATCAGCTACTNCTCGCTGCATGTTGAGAACCACCATTCGTAGCTACCATATCAAGTGGAGGCTTCTTTTTCTCATCCATCTTTTGCTAGTAATTTTTTGCTCATCATGAAAGAATATGGCTAAATAGAAAACAGTATCGTCAGACGATGAGCGATGCAGAGAATGAGATTATACCATCATTATTTGTTCTTATCGTTTCCTAAGCGAACTCTTTCGCTGGTATTTTGAATGGCACTGGGCGCTTCTTTGTGTAGAGCTTTACATTGTGCTAGTTCGCGCTCTCTATTTACACTGTGCTAAGTTATCCCTCAAATTTGTTCACATTGTTCTTGGGTTTCTTGCCGGTTTTTATTCTGGCATTGTTGCCTCGTTGCTGTTATTTGTTGTTTTCGTTTTAATGCCCCAACAAAACTTCATATGAGTGTCCGAAATATGATTTGAAACCAGATTACTTTTTGATTTGTCACATATGATAAAGAGGTGTTTGTATTTATAATTTTTACGCATGGTAATTTTATGTTTGGATAGATGAATACATGTTGATGCTGGCTTCAAAGCTCGCATATGTTGTACCTATTTAAGAGAAAAAAAANAAAAAAAACGATGTACGGTTGCTGTGGCAGGTTGGAAAATGTGGCATTCATTTCTTAGCCAACGGACTTCAGAAAAATACAAGTACCTGGTTCAGCAGATTCAGCTTTTTTGTGTGCCATAATGTAAAGAGGCAGACCGTGGAGAAGTGCAGATGTTTCGTTTGAAGGCAATCTCTTCGGCAGGAGCTCCCATCAAATGTTGATACGAAAGAGATTGGAAGGTTTTCCTGGTCAATGTGAAGAAACTTTCAGTAAAGAATGTGCTTCCTAATTTCATCTGTTCTATACCCATTTTTTTTTGTACAGCAATGCTGCTTTACCACGCTGCAGTGGGAGAGATACTCGTAACCTATCACTGTGAGTAACCACACATCCCAGAAGTACTTACATTATCTCATAAAAATAACTAGGATAGTCTTGCTAGTTTTCCACAAGGTGGGCACTTAGCATTCCGGCAGGTACCGCGTGAATGGTCTAGCCAGAACTTTGACGAAAATAGGTGGAAGCTATTCAGATGTTCTGCTTTAATGCTATCGGGGCCGGGCGCCGTACAACTCTTCATCGACGTGATGAATTTGAATTTTGGAGGGAGGACTGAAGGGACGGCATATCCGCCTTTTCTAATTGTAAGATGGTAGATAGATGTGACTGTCTAAAAGGTCCAAGTAGAAGCCGTGGGTGACCTTCTCCATGGCCCACCAAAATGTAGTAAGTGTCACGTGGGGACGACGAAGTGGAGTCGTCTTGATCTTGTAGTTGGCGAGACTCGGGCTGACTTTGCGAATGATCTTCCAGGCAAGGCGGCTTCGTCGATAACTGCTGGTCTCTTTTCTTTCAGATCTTCCTTTATCGCTTTTCTGCATAGCTTTGCAAGTTAGGACATTTGTTGATGATTTTCTGTAACTCACGTGATTTCACATTGGCNTATTAGCTCGAAAGCTCTCGAAAAGAGACGTCCCTTGCTTACTTGTATACTCTCCATTTTTCTAGCACTATGGCGAGGATGTTCGACGAACCGCTTACATTCTTCATCTATGATGCTGATAGCGGAGTCCTGCCCGAAACTGGCAGAGAAGCGAAGTGGTACCTGTTGATGATGTTCTGACGCTTCGCCCTGAATTCACAGCTCATTGTGGAACTGACTCCAAACAAGTGACTCCTGCGTCCATTGCAAAGAAGAGGGCTCCTAGAGCTTCGAACTATCACGGATAGCATGGGTCGACATGATAAACTCTTAGAGCCTTTCACTCTGCTGATTCCATTCCGCTCCGTGAGTACCAATATGTAGCTGTTCAGCCGTTCTTCTGAGGCCAGTTTTGGTGTTGAAATCGCGGACGATGGTCTTGAAGGAAGTGTGGTCCTCTCTAAAGAGCTGTTGCAGACTCTTCAGAGAAGACCACATATTTATTGAACCTTTCCAGTTCATCCTCTTCGCAGATGTTGGTGTGTAGGCAACGAATATTGCTAGAGCTGGAGTTGAGCCACATCATCTCAGCTGCAAACGTCCAATTTGGGTTGTCAAGCTTCCGTAGGAATCGGTGTTCGTGACCTGATGCGTAGTAACGAGGATACCTAGGCCGCCGANCTTGCTTGCGCCATCAGATCTTCGAGACACGCTCGATGCAAGAGTTCGAGCATTTAAGTACAAGTCCTCATATTAGTCTTTCTTCTCTTGAGCAACCTGTCTCGCCCCTGATATTTTAGCCTCTCTCGAAGGGTCCTACCCAGAGCTGTCTATTGGGGACTTCCTTATCGAAAGCAAGCATGTAGTGTGAAGCAGCCCCAAGATTTAGACAGATCCCGTAACACATTATCTGCTAGTGACAAGTGAGGAGAATTTGTGGGTATGAATGATATTAGCCAAACCGGCGGGCTTCCCTTCCCCTCTACGTATATCGGGTTACAGGAGCCTGATCATGAAGTAGCTTCCGAGTTCATAATCTTTTCGGGTTCATTGTTTGCTATGCTGCGTTCTAATATCGCAAAACCGACGATAAGGAATCTGATCCTGGCTAAAAGAAGGTGTTTTAGGGAGCTAAAACAACTCTCAGATGCTGGGGCTATAAAGATCAATGTGAGCGACAAACGAGCAGAATTTGCGAGGTATGGAAAAAGCGATCATTTGTCTACATACACAGGACAGGACCGTTTACCAATCTGCAGCATCTAAGGTATTCACAAAACAGTACCGCTGCTTGTATAGAGAATCGGTGCGAGCTGCCAACCTTCCTAAAAACATCATAATGCGGCTAAAAAGTGAACTCCTTATCTGCCCGGTCCCGTACTGCTCATGAAAGCACATAAAATTCCCCCGGGAGGCGCAACCATGGATGATTCGTCTTACTTCAAGGTTAGACCTATTGCCAGTAATGTCGGTGGGCCAAGGATAGAATTCCATAGTTCCCAAATTCAATACTGTACAGCTTTTCAAGTATCTCCCTGCTCACTTTTCCAACACCAACGCGCTGCTAATGAAACTTCGTGATGAGGGGCATGATGGAGTCTTTTGACGTCACCTCGCCATATATTAATGTGTCGAATGATTGTGCTATGCGAGCAAGGTGTGAAATTCTCAACGAACATCGAAACTCTCTTAATTTATATGGCCTGTCAATACCTCAGGTCATGACACTCTTCGGAGAGTGCCTATCGTGCAAGATATTTAAGTGGTCGGGCGAGTATTACCAGCAGATAAGAGGACTAACGATGGGGCAAAAACTTGCTCCAGTGCTCGCAGTGGCATTCTTGTCGAAAATTGAGCACTGTTTTAGAGCGTAGACCCATCTATATTGTCGGTATCTAGACAGTCGCTTTACTGTGTGCTCCACCCAGGTGGAGATAGACACCTGTTTTGTTTCGAATTGTTTAAACGGCAATCGGAACATATAAAGCCTACAAAGGAAAAAACGACAGACGATTGGCTCGCATTTCGCAATGTCCAGGTTCGAGTAACTGCGAGTACCTTCAGGACTAAATGGTGTCGTAAGCCTACCAGCAAAAACATACTAGTCCACTTCCGTTCCGCCCATCCGTTTAACACTAAGAAGGCCATCAGGAATCAGGAATATGTTGCACACCGCCTCTCGAGTTTCCTCAGGATGTAAGAGTGTGTGGGGCGTAAGAGACTACAGGATACTGTGTCCGTAGGTGGAATGACCGTAATCCTAAGAGCAGCGGAGCGTTGGAAACACAGCTGTCTGGAAAGGAAGTGTCTGA